CATGGTTCTCAGCAGGAAACCGATGGACTGTCCACTCCAAGTAGGGAATGAGTCCTTACCCCAAGTGAAGGAGTTCAAGTATCTCGGGGTCTTGTTCTTCATGACCGAAAGAACGAGATTGCGGATACAAGCGGCCGAGATGGGTTTTCTCTGCAGGGTGGCTGGTGTCTCCCTTAGGAATAAGGTGAGAAGTTCGGCCATCCGGGAGGGACTCGGAGTTGAGCCGCTCCTCCTTCGCGTCGAAAGGAGCCAGTTGAGGTGGTTCGGGCATGCCACCTGGGCGCCTCTCTAGGGAGGTGTTCCAGGCACGTCCAGCTGGGAAGAGACCAAGGGGTAGACCTAGGACCAGGTGCAGGGATTATATCTCTTCGCTGGCCTGGGAGCGCCTTGGGATCCCCCAGTCAGAGCTGGTTGATGTCGCCAGGGAAAATAAAGTTTGGGGCTCTCTGCTGGAACTGCTACCCCCGCGACCCGACCACGGATAAGCGGGAGAAGATGGATGGATGGATGGACTAAATATACCTTTTTCATACCATTTAGACTTGTTGGAAAAGCCGAGGTGATAATAATGATGACTGTAACAATGGTTGCTATTTAAGTTTCCAAAGCAGATACAGTACATTCATTTAAGTTATTTCTATCTTTGTATAACCTCTGACAGAAAAGGTATGTTTTCAGTTTGGTGGGTCTGTTTGTCAGCAGTAAGAACTACTTGCCAAATGTTCATGAAACTTGGTAGAAAGGTGAAGCACAGGCCAAGGGAGAATCCATTTAATTTGAGAGCGGATCTGAATCACAAGACGGAACTAATTATTTTTCAATTTCATTAACATTGCAAGATAGGGCATGGCCTTGGCATTGGTATGAGCTCTCTGAGTGCCCTTCTACTTTAGTTATTTTCCTGGCATTATAAGAACTCAATGATATTGCATTGAGTTGTGTTTTTATGAAAGCCTCTAATTATTAGAATTACCATGAAAAAAACGAAAAACACCTTTAGATGTGGATTTCGGTTTGCAGGGCGATTAATATGCAGTGTTTTCTTGTATATTCACTGTTAAATGTGGCAATTTATTTTCGTTTTATCCATTCATTTATTTGTGGTATGCCTTACTGTCTAGCATTTGGCTTTGACAGTACAGCAAAGTGACAGTTGTAGCAACAGCAGGTGTATAGGTAGACGGATGAGGACAGGGATTATTGTAAAGACAGCCCAATGAGGAGTGCTCATGTTTCATTACGTGATAATTACTGCGCATTAGTGTGGCTTGGATATCTTAATTTGAATTGCAACATCATTACATCCAGTCAGCTCTTACGGCTAGATCTTTTTTAACATCATACTCCGAGGTGTTTTCATGACAGGTATTATAGGGACAGAAGTAGAACCATGCATCATGAAAATACACATACTCTGTCACACGCATATATAAGACAGACTGATACAATTCTAATTGTTGACATTGTCATTTATCCCTCTCCTCATTAAACCAACATGATTAATCATCAGATCAGCAAGCAAGAGAAGTACATTTTATCATCTTTTCTTGAAACATTTGTTTAAACAGCAGAGGGCAGATCAGAGGGGAGTTTCAAAGTTTTGATATATGACCAACATTAATATGAAACGTACCAGTTATAGTGTGTACAATTATGACAATTACAACTGAAGAGTACGTTTTCATTGCTTTTTTTCCACACTTGTTGACCTATTCATTTTACAGAGTTTACTATTAGTTGTGCTGCTAAAAGATATCGCTCATCTGAGTTTCCTCTAAGGAATGTAAATTCCACCTAAAGAAAAGGAGAAGGCTCACCTACATAAAATAAGCGACAGAAAATGGCAAGGGGGCCTTACAATTCACCCCCAGGTACATTTTGATGCTACCTGCAGGTTGCGTGCATGTTCATTATATTGTAGATTATTGTAGCTTTTCAAAGCGGTTTCCATTAACAGCACTATTCAGGAAAGCATCATTGTCTTCTGTTTAATATTGTGCTCCACAGCAGGGACAATAGTGGTCTCAGAAGTCATTGTTGACAAACATGGAAACAAGATATAGAGTTCGGCAGACAATCCCTGATTAAATATTGTTCAGCGATAACAAATTTGGCTAACCCATTAGTGTTAATTGTCCAATACTGATATTCAAATATCACATGGAAGAAGTGGCCTAATGTAAACTGGTTCTGATGCTATTCATATTAACTTGAAAGTCCAATTGGATTTGATTTTATTCATCATTATTTGTAGTCAAACATAATTTGAACCTTCTTTTTTGCTGTTAAAAAGGATGACAATGTCCTTGGGGAAATATCAGGAATCCTTGTATACGTGTCAGCTAGCGTAAAGCCAGGCAGTGTTACAGGAGCGTGGAAATTAGCAGACGTGCCAAAATATACCACCCACCAAAAATACATTACTTATTTATAGTGTAAAATCTTCAATAAATATGGCATCATCTTCAATAACGACTATTATACAGTAGGCCTATACATATTCACCAAAATTACTCCAAACCATATTCTTCCAAACTCTCTGATGTAGTATGAGCAACAGAAGACTATTGATGTGTGTAATGAGTTTGGTAGTAATATACTGTAGAATAGTGAAGTGATTGAATATTATTATATTCTCTTTTTTCGGAGTTGCACTTTGCAGAAGGTCCCATGAGCACTCGTTTCTTCTCCGGCTGCAGATAGAGACCAATGTAATGTGTCCAGCTCGGAGCGAGGACGGCGCATATTGGCTTTTTTTTATCAACATGTGATTGTAGTTCGTTGTCAACCTTACCACGGTACTTAGGAGACGTCATTTGTGTCTGAATAACGTTTTGTTCATGAGTTATTGATCCGTGAAATCCGAATCTGCCAATATCGTTCTAACTTGACTCAACTACGTTTCAAACCGTGCATTTTCAGCAGCCGAATCAAGTGCCTTTTGCTAAGGATGACACTGTGCTTAACTGCAAGGGATTGCAGAATATCATTATAATTCATACCCAAATGAAAATAAAATAAAATAAAAATGATCCATGCTTCGCGATAATAGCCGTAGCCTACGGTACAGAGTTTAGCTAGTGTTGTCACCTATACAGTCTATGGTTGTCACTCAGTCATCAGTTTCTATAGGATAGACCAGTGATTCTCAAATGGGGGTACGCGGACCCCTGGGGGTACGTTGGGGTACTGCAGGGGGTACGTGAGATTTAAAAAAAAAAGGTTAATTACAAAAATAATCTTAGTAAAATAAGTTAAATAGAAAACACCATTTTATATAAAACATGCCTAGAACCACCAAGGGGGTCCTCATATAAACATGTCAAATGTGTGTATTGTATTTTATAGTTTTTCACAATAACATATTACTTAAATTTATAAAACAATCTGGTTTTTTTCATGCATAAAATGGAAATATCCTTAGTTTGTTGTAATGCATACCACGAAGGAGTTAATACATCACACACTGAGGGAACATCACTATATTGTAATTATTTATATATGCTTTTTTGATCAAAAATGTTCGGGATCGGTCAGGGGGTACTTGGCTGAGAAAATGTTTCAAAGGGGGTATATTACTAAAAAAAGTTTGAGAAGCACTGGTATAGACTATCTGGATTTAGTTATTACGTAATAATTATTGTGTTCCCACAAATTACTAATGCGTTCGAACATAATAACTAATTCGTGGCCACGCATTATTATCAGACGGGAAGCGAAAGAACGAGCAAGACCCATTGCTGGTATGATAACAACCTGGTACTAAGCACACAGGCATCTTGTTAAAGTCATCTTATCTTAGTATTTTTCATAGTCTTATATTTCAACAGTTTTACGACAAACTGTGACTTTTTTTGACATGGAAATTATTTTTTAAGATTGACAAACATCATATGTGTAATTCATGGCACATTTCAAACGGGATCGAAAGATAAATTTTCTCTCTCCATTGACTTCAATACATTATTTTTCTGACATAAGGTCCCATGGACTGGAAGTAGATGGGCGTGACTTCGCCACTCTACAAATTCATTCAAAAATCTTCTACACTTGGGTACTTGATCTGTGTTTTATCCTCATGGTCTTGTGTATGCATTATAAGCAGGGAGGGAGTCTCATATCAAATGACCTCGCTTTAAAAATCTTGTTTGTAAAGTAACTAGAGGTCAAATAAATGTAGCTGAGTACAAAATACAACATTCTTATTAAGTAGAGCCAGAGATGTATCATGCTGCATGAAATGGAGATATTCAATTAAAGCACAAGTAAAGTAGTTTAAAACACATTTAACTGTAGTTCAGTTCATGCACTCTGCTACATTTCACAGAGTATAACATTTAAAGTGGTTGGATTAAATGTAGGATGGTGCCGTCTGTACTTCAGTGAATGTTGTTATCCTAAAACCTGCCAGATAAACTACATACTGTACAACTCATACTCTGATACAGAGTTATTCTCCTAATCAATACTGTACAATAACAAGTTGAGTATTTTGTCAATCAACTCAGGTTTTTCTCTACAACAAACAATACAGACATCTCATAGAAGTTGAAAACAACATGAACATAAAATGTTCCGGTAGAATTGTGAAAAAAGTCTTTCAAATAAACATTACAAATTGTGTTTGTATTATTGGATTTTATTAGTAGTTGGCGAATACTAAATGTTTAAAAAAAAGTTCTTAAAGGAAAGCTAGTTTAAACTTTTGACGTACAAAGATTGGCATCACGTCAGAGATGATACAAACAGCAGGTTTATGAACATTGTAGTAAAATACTTATTGGTGTATTTTGGCAAAAATCTAGTCTATTGGGCTGTCAAAAACTTGTGTTGTGGATAATGCATAGGATTCGGTTCACTTTGGAAGCTGTCTTTTGTGCAAAGTAAGAAAGTAAACACTCCATTTCAAAAAGCCTTTTCTTGATTGTGCTGTACGATCATTTCACAAACAGAAATCTTGATTCCTCACTGATGCAGTGATAATGACAACAATTCCAATCTGTGAAGCAGAAATAAACTTTTATTTTTTTTAAATCAAGCTGCTTCATAGTTTCAATCATTGAAAACCGTGTTGAAATAAAACATGTCACTTAAAACAGGCAGACTGCACTATAAATAGTCTTTATTCTAGTAGAACTAATCAGCTGGTATTGGAAACCTTTACATATATCTTCTGGATGTTACTTCGTTAATTCTTTTTAAATAATTCATAGAAAAGTATATACTCTGTAAACACACACAAATGAAAGTATAAAATAATTCAGGTTGACATTTATGTTATTATTTCATCTGGTAGTTTATCTGTAATTACAAAAAAATATAGCAGTTAACATTTGACTAAATGATACACCTAAAGAAAAAATGATGATGCAGACATAGTCCTTTTGTAATGCAATTTAATACAAATGACCATTTAGTTATACTATTTGAATCTCTTGAGTTTTTACTTTTGCTTTAAGAAACTACCTTTGTAAACGACTTCTATTATTTAGTCCACCTGTAAAGTCTGCTTTTGGAGACAAGTTGCACAATTCAGAAGAGAGCTAACTTTCATCAATTATATATTGACAATCATTTGGGTACATTTCTGATCATCAAAATTGGCTTCACAGAAATGTAGAGGCCAGCACACAACATGGTATGGCAGAACACTTCTTGCAAAGCCTCGTGGTGTACCTGGTGTCACAAACACTAAAGAAAGCATCATGCACATATCTCAATGTGAATATAATAATCCACATACGTGACATTAGTTAAGACTCTTACAGCATTAAGACCTCTCAGTGACGCTTATTTTAAATAACAAATTAGTCGCCAATCAAGCCACAGAGTTGTTTTGTTTTTCCACATAAAAAGAAAGAAATAGTGAAGACATCTGAGATGGATCTTTACACATACAATAGAAAATAGGTTCTTTGGCTCTACAAAAATCGGTCAAATTTTATTTTTATCTTGACCTCGACATGGAGGCGACATTTTTACAAGAACAGATTGATAGATGACTGCGATAAAGAAATATAAAAAAACCTTTCCAGATGTGATTGGAAGAAAGAGAGTCTTCCTGATTCACAGGCACCCACCACAATTGACATTTGTTTCCCTCTCCTTATACACTCCTCCCCAGCCAGCCCTCTGTCACCTGGCTGTCATGGCCGCTCAGACTCTACGTCGGTTGGACTAATGGTCGTGGAAGCCTGGCATGGGGAAGGGCCTGGCAAAAGCTTCAACGCGGTGGCGCAGGTTGGCAATGCGAGCCACGGTCTCAGAGTCCTGGAGAAGAAAGTTCTTGAAGTCCAGGAGTTTTCCTAGAGAAGACAGCAGTATAGAGAGAAGGAAGCTCAGCATACTACGATTGCCTTTTTGCTACATTTGTTTTATCAGTCGTTTCAGCATTTTATAATTTAATATGACATACAGCATTTTGTACTTTTGTAGCTTTTCTAACGACTTTGTGCTTACCTGTCTTCTTCTTGACGTCCAAAGCAATCTTGAAGCCCTCATCCATGAACTCAACAACTTGCACAAAGTCTCCTTCTTTGAACTGTCTGGATGTCAGGGCTGGAGTACCTGGGAAAGAAAGAGAACACAACATCTGCATCTTAAAACACAAAGTAATGACTGGAAATGGCTTTTTCTCGCTTTTACAGGTTGAACGCTCTCCAATAAAGTTTTTTGCATTTCCTTCCATTAAGAACCTTATGGCTAGAAGGTAAAAGGAGTATCGCCTAAAGACAATGCTATAAATGTGGGAGTGGAGATGTGGAGCTCTTGAACTTCCTGGAAGATGATTAAAAACACAAACATATTTAATAAACCATGATCTGCTTAGTGCTTGTGGCTTAATCGGTGGCTGACTAATTTCCATATGCAGAACTACATTTTTACATAGTGAGGGAAACAGAATAAGGAAAAAAAGGCGAAGTGCAAAATACATTTGACAAAGAAAACCCTGACCTATTATTTGATTATGTAATACAATATGCTGAAAAGCTGACCAACATTTCAACACATTATCTTGACAAAGTTACTAAGTATTAAAAGGTAACAACTTTTTGAATAAACAGATCAGCATAACTTTCTTTTGTCGTTACTAATAATAATAATAATAATAATAAGTCAAACAGAGCTTGTCTAAGTCCAGTTAAATGTAGAGTGAAGCTGCTCCTCACCCAGCCTGAGGCCCCCAGGACTCAGCGCGCTCTTGTCCCCGGGGCAGGTGTTCTTATTGGCTGTGATGGACACCAGCTCCAGCACGCGCTCGGCCCGCGCTCCATCAATGCCCTTAGGCCGCAGGTCAACCAGGACAAGGTGGTTATCAGTCCCACCTGGAATATTCAACATTTTTAGAAAAATAAATTGAAGAGGAGGACAGTCTGAGACTTCGTAGACACAATCTTCACTTTTAAACCTTTACTTTAGTTTATGAATGAGGTAATGTTATTTGATATGAAACTGAGCAGTTAATGATGAAACTCAAATAATTGTTAGGTAGTTGGGTAGGCTTTTGGCACCTCCAATGCTTGACTTCTTTCTCATGCATTTGCCCATGTTTGTCTTTATATCTGCTTTATTTTCATAGTAAACTAAAATATTACTCATTGACTGCCATTATGATAAAGCACAACTTACTTCGGGCCTGCAGGAAATTAACAAACAGGAATTATTTTATTGTTTCATATTTGCTTAGTACAAGCACCACATTTCCCCTAAGTTATCAGTTAATATAAAGTGCATTACACAATTAAACATTATACAGACAAAGAGGCGTTTCAATAAGTTGTTAAACCCTTTTGTATTACACATTCTAATCAACACCTCTCTCAAATAGTGTCAACTAAAAATGGATTGTAACAGTAAAAAACCTTGTTTCAGTTTTTTACATCTACAAAGGGATTGAAAAAAGGAGCATGCACACAATGCAGTGTAAGCACAGGACAAGTCTGTATTTTTAAGGGTATAAATTGAAGGCCATACATCAAAAAAGAGCTGAGGCCAGCAAATGAAATGCAGTACAAGATTCCAGCACTTGGTCACTACCAGAAAGTGACCGCCTTCATCTGGTTTTATTCCCTTGACTGACAGGACACTGACATTAGCCTATTTGCACATCATGAATTTAAATGCTTTTCTGTTGCATTATTTGCATTTTGTGGCAGGACATTTCTGTTTATTGACTGTGTTATGTGTTCTTCTGTGTTTCTTTCTGCTGTTAGCAGAGCCAGTGTCTCAAACGAATGCTTAAATACAAGTTCCATTACCTGATACCAGGGTGTAGCCTTTGCTGAGCAGAGCTGTAGCCATAGTCTTGGAGTTCACTATAACCTGGCCGATATACTCCTTGAACATGGGAGACATTGTCTGGAAACAAAATACCAAGATTTTAAGTTTGAGGTCAAAAAACTATTAATGAAAAAAAAATGTAAACGAAATAAACATATATTGGTACAAGTCAGTAGCTGCCTTGCACAGCGTTAAGATCCAGATAGCTCACAATTCAGAAAGAGAAGGAGCAGATGCCTAGAGCAGGGTTAGAGTCAAGTTGCACCTCAGCGGTAAGATGAAGTTTCATTGCAAAATGTGATTAAGCGGTAATAAAGTTCTTATTAGGAAATAGCAGACCGTGGTGATGAATCGTTACATCAATACAAATACATTTTTAATTGAAATGGGGTGTCTGTGTGCTGAGCTGACCTGTCTGAGAGCCACAGCCACACCAGCGATGGCGTGGTTATGAGGGCCGCCCTGCAGCGAGGGGAACACAGAGAAGTTCACCCTGTCCTCAAGGTCGTACACGATCTCCTTCCCCTTCTTGTCCACCGAGCGAACGCCCTTACGGTAGAAGATGAGGCCAGCCCTGGACAGAACAGACTAATTGACTGACAAAGAATTTGAAACCTTTCCTTTTCTCTTAAAATCAAACAAGGTGTCATTAATAGGTTTTTGATTTGTCCCCAATTACATTAGCCATCTACTGACTACTATTACTACTGTTAAAAACAAGTACTCATTTCCATGTTGCTCAGTGAAGAGGCTCTAATGAGATTTGACTGAAATATCTCTAGATCTTACCTGGCTCCGCGGAGGGATTTGTGTGTGGTGGATGTGACCAGGTCAGCGTGGTCAAAGGGAGAGGGGATGGCTTTGGCTGCCACCAGGCCGCTGATGTGGGCCATGTCAGCCAGCATGTAGGCCTTAATGTCGGTACACAGCTGAGGGGGGAACAGACACAGTTAGGATTCAAATGTACACCATGGGACAGGAAGGTTTGTATTACTACGTTATTTTTAAATCTCTAGTTCTAATTTTTTTAGGTACAAGACCCTAAATTATCAAAATATATACAACTTATATACAAGTAATAAGATTAGTAACAGTGTTGGAATAATGGCCCTAGTTTTAGATAGACAAGTTCAGATTATGTCCAATAGAGTCAATAATAACCGCTTGAAGTCTACCACACTCTTCAGCCTTGTTCTCGTTCTGCCTGCTTCAGGGGCGTTCCTGCCGTCGACCTAATATTAAAGTGACTGATTTAGCTTGCTATGAACATTTCAGTGTTTGGCCATAAAAACCTCTACTTTTCAGTATTTTAAAATATGGGGGCGATGTTCAAAAAAGGTGAGAGTCATACACCGTTATCCCAATATAGAAGTGAACACACTCAAACCTCTGGTGAGCTGAAATTCGGCACTTCAGCCTCAGTCACTGTTTAATTTAAAATCCTGGAGCAGAGCAAAATGTGAATGTCCAAATATTTATTAACTTCTCTGTATATGCTGTAGTATTCTTGATATATACACACTAGTACTAGAAAGTATTACAGTTACTATAAAACGTAACTACACATTTAGACTTGTCTTTTTGTCATAGGTGATCCTCTATATTTTACTTGAATGCGCTTGGCTTCAAATTTAAAATTTGAGATAAAAAAAGTGAGATGCAAAAACTCTTTGCTCCAATAATAGAAATGTTACCCTCACGGTTTTGATAACTCTACATTTGTAAGCACTACCTATCACTTCAAAAGGGCATATGTTTCAAATCTGAGTGTTATTACACTCTTCGGCAGTCTTCAGAGGCCCGAAATATCAGTGTAATTCAATAAATCCTTGCTGTCTCTTGCCAGCATTTATTAAAAAAGGCACACACAATAAATAGCTTGCTAACATGCAAATGACTCGTTGGCGAATGATCAGAGCAGTAAACAATATTTTTAGTGCTCCAATTAATATTCATTATCACGACAATCTTCCTTGCTCCCATATCTAAACTGGATCAGCACATGTTTATTAGATTAAAAGGCAGGCAAGATGGCAGGGTTACTGGAGGGGGTAAAGAACACGAGAGGGTGATGTGTGCGGTAGCTGATGAACGCCGATAGTCAAACAAATTTCAGATTTAAAAAAAGAAGCTTGCTCCAATCTAGGTAACAACACTGAAAATCTGGAGAGGGGCCCTGCCTGCTGCCATAAAACAGTGAAGAGCTCCACAGAGACATGCCAGGGGGAAATATGGCCCCACTTCAGGCCTAGTGGCAAAGTAGTTACGGTGCTTAATAAAAACACAGCTCTGTAATGGAGGGACACTCCATCTGATGGTACTAGCTAAAGTGAGGCTCTGCAACAAAGGGAAGCAGTCATGGAGGGACTGAAGAGAATCAGAGGGTGGGTATTACAAAACAGATAAAGGGGCCTCTTGTGCACTGCCAAAGAGAGCAGTGAAGTGTAGTTAAAAGTTGCTGCTGTGTTTGCGTGAGTCAGCGCGAGAATCCACGCTCAGTGCGGATGAGTAGACAACAGAAAGCATCTGTGGTGGTGTGCACAAGTGTGAAACAGCCGAAGAACTGTTTGTGTCTGGATATGTCGAAGATTGAATGCTCAGTATTTACAGCAGACAGGTTTCTACTGAGGGCAGCTTTTTGTGCAGAATGAGTACATTTACTTTTTACACTGCTGGATTATTTATTTTACTTACCTAAAAGACAAGAGTATTTCTTCTACCTCCGAGTGTGAACAGAAATGATTAAAAATATAGTCTGGATTAATCCTGGCTATCAGTAAGAGGAGCAGATGTGCCTGACAGTCAGTGCAGTGGAAAGGTTGAGTGAGTTTAAAGGGGACCTATCATGCACAATATATATTTTATACATAAATATGTGTCCCCGGTGTGTCAGGGAACTCAGGCAGCGTCAGAAAATAAAACCCTCATAAAACGTAAATTACGTCACATCGGATGGCGGACCCTCGGCACTATCAGAAACGTCACTATCAGAATAAATGCCTGACGTCTTTTGGACGTTATATGGTCTTTGTTTACATTAGCAAGCATCGCTTACACTCAGAGCTAACCTGTACTGGAGAGAGTATGTGTGAAGAAGCAGGAAATACAAAAAAGAACTCACCTTGTGGTAAACCAGCAAGAGAGAAAGCCTTTGAGCTCCATACTGTTTCAGGCGTTTCATCACCGCAGCATTTATTTTAGACAGTATCTGCCGGGTCCCGTATGAGCAGGCATAAGCTCCGCCCCCTCTTTTTTTTTTTTAAAGCTTTATACCCCGAATCAGCACTTTAGTAACAGGAAAGGGAAATAGAAGGATATGAGGCATGACTAGAATGGGTGATCTGTTTGGTATTTTGAGCAAAACACTTCATAGACATGTCTTTTATATATCGGAGTCCTATGCTATTGACTAAAAATTGCATGATAGGTGACCTTTAAAATAAGAGGACAAAGCTGGTGTGACCTTCATAATGTAGGAGGAGAAAACAGGTAGCAGGAGAGGATGAGGTGGAGCAAGACACACACACACAAAAGCTGAGTGAGTTTTGAATAAGGAGAGAGTTCTCCATGCACCTTCTTGATGCGGACGTAGTCAATGAGGCGGGCATAGGCGCTGGTGCCAGCGATGATGAGCTTGGGCCGGAACAGCTTGGCCGTCATCTCCAGCTGGTCGTAGTCTATGAGTCCTGTTGCAATCTGCGGAGAAACAGAGAGGGAGACAGATTGAGGAGAGGAAAAAAGTGGAGGATGAATATGAGCATATTGGAGGGTGAGTACGGTTCAGGAGGAACACGAGGGGATGAAAAAAATACATTTCAGATATCTTGAGGATCAAGAGTAAACGTATCAACACGGAGGAGAGATTTTTTCCATTTGAAGCTTATTTGAAGCAGATGCATTTGAAGTACTTGGGCTACCTTAAAAAGGGGAAGGAATTTATCGAAATGAGACATTTCATCCTATAATATCAAGGAAGAAGATTGCAGTAAAGCACCCCTACTTATCCTAATTCAACCTTTCACGGGTCTATTCAACTGGTGTGATGAGGCTGAACAGATCAGAGGTTGGTTTGGAGACGTTATCTACTCTTGTCATTGAAATAAGCACTTTGAGATATACGGTAGACATCCATTATTCAGGGGATGCATGTCTGAATCTTGTCAAATGTTGTCAGTCTAGAACTGCCAAATGACCAGTGTGTTGTGTGCCTGTCTGAACCTGCATTTCCAACCCAGAACTCAAAACATGAGAGAGGAGAGACAAACCAGGTGGGGGACAGCCAGCAGGACGGAACAGGAAGTGAAAGACAAAAGGGATAGAGAATAAGCGAGACAAAGACACGAAAAAGAAGAGAAAATACGAGGAGGGAAAGCTTTATTGAGACAACCTGATAATCTCCAATCTCCAGAGCACATCTATGGGTGCCCCCTCGCTCCATCAAGCTGCTCATTGTGAAGACAGAGCCAGTGGTGCTGGCCAGCCTGTCGATTTCCCATTATCTCTCTCGCAGAGGGGTGCTGCCGGCCCATACATCAGCAGGTCTGGACACGCAGACTCTCAGGGCAATCCATCAGCCGCTACCAACACCAGCACACAACTATGACCCCGGAATAAAATACTAAACACTAATATATGAAGCCCTGCATCTGAGGGACCCTGGTCCTACTGATTGTATCTTAGTTGAAAACAGCACTTTGAATGTTTTACAAACAGTACTGACGTATAGGGCTGTATGTTTGCATTGTGAGTGATGTGGCCATAGCAAGCACTAGTTGGGCTAAGATGTAGACATCAAATCCCTACCCACACTGCCTTGTGTCATACCCGTGTGGGCAAAAAAGCAAACAGGATTCCCCAAAAAGCGACCACTTGTCCCCTAGTGTATTTAAATCAATATCCTGTCATTAAAATATTTTTCGAAAAGACTTTAAGACTAAAATATTTGGTATAATTGTAGATAATGTATTGAAACTTCTTCGCCAACATAATATCAGCAATATTTAAAAAATATATGGTTTACTGTAAGCAGGAAATATGTTTTATGTTTTGGTAATACTGTTGCACAATGGTCTTATGCAGTCTTTTCAGTTTTCCTGTTACAGTGAATTGCACAAAAAGAAAATTAGACAACATTGTATTTTTTCCTTGCAAACATGAACTGTAAACACGACTACAAAATTAAGAAAAGAAACTGACAAAGTTGCGGAGATGATCAATAGTACAACTGAAAGACGTGAGACAGAGTGCTGCAGCCATGTGAGAACCCTGCACCCCCGACACATGGGCAGTTCTGGCCAGCAGAACTGGTTCATGTGGAGGTCAAGTCAGAGGTCAAGCTGAGAAATAGCTGACTCTGAAAACCTTCCCTGCGACCATGTTAACAACGAGTATTTTAAATATTGGACTTTAGAAAAACCCTCTTATCTGACAATGAAAGAGGATAAGACATATTTAAACACACGTAACAAAAATAAACTACAAATATGATTTAACCCGTTGCGATTTAACTTGTGTACGGTTATTTTCTGGTATAAGAAAGTCCACGACATCAGTAGCAGGTTTGGATTTTCGTCATTTTAGGGCAAGGCCATTTGGCCTTTGGTGTCACACATTTTTTCAGGGCGGAAAGGCCACATGCCAGGGCACAAAGGCCATTGAGGGAAAAATTAGGATTTGGAGCTTACAAATAAATAACTTCACTTTCTAATGACAAAAAACAAATCACTTTTTTAATATCAATAATCGTATCATCATATAGGCCTATGCCTCCTTAGTATTAACGTATCTAAAATGAAATACTTTACTTTGAATAATTAGTGTTTGGTATGTTTTCCATCTACTACTACTCCCATTCACTAATCCGAAATCTAAAAATAAAAAATTCTATTAATATGTAACAAATATATTCCATTTCAGAGCAGAAGAAACTGCCTTCAAGGGTCAAACTCTGCACATACATCATTCAGCGGTGCACAGTGAAGCTCCAACATCCAACTGTATGAACAAGCAATACTTTGAAATGCAAAAGAGTGCGTGTGTGTCTCTTTAATCAACTCCTCACAGCTCCTCATATCTGTTCAGAAACTGGACAAAAGTTAAAGATGTACAAACCACAGACTGTCATGACGAATACAGTCGCTGCTTTAATTCTGTCTTTAGGACGTTGTTGTGAGTTTAGACGGAGCAGCTACAACGTTAATTTAGCCTGATCGATCCAATCTCCATTCACAAAACGTGCATTTTAAAAGGTTTTGCATGCCGTCTTGTCTGCACACTTAAAGCACTTAAAGCATGGTTTTTACTAACCGTTATCAGTATTTAGTTACTTCGGCATCATTTTGAAACGTGTATTACAATTAAATCACTGTAACATGGGTTAATTTGGTCGTAGTTGGTTTCCACCACAGTATTTACATGGATATAAGCCCCGCCCCCTCTCCAGCGCATCCTGTTTGAATGACAGGAGTAAACACAGCTGACAGCCGCGGTGAAACTCCAGCGGTTAGAGCGATGAGAATATTCGCATCGCGTCCGTTGTGAACGCAGCATAATGCAGTTCAGAAACCACTGTTCTGACGCTTTTAAAGCAAATGTTAACAGTGTGAGTGGCCCAAAGGCCATGGTGGCCGTAGGACGTACAATTATTTGTGGGGCATAACGGCCAGACCGAGGGGCTACGACGGCCATGGCCGTCATGGCCGCCGTGAAAATCCCACACTGATCAGTAGTGTGGGTCTCTACTTACGTTTAGCTTGTAAGGCATGGACTCAAAATAGATAGAGGTGGCTGAGATCCTCTTCACATCAGACATGTAGCCATGGGTGAGACTGGAGTGAAACAGAAGAACATGTAAACAAATGTAAAAAAATAGCAAGAATAATGAATTACATTCCAAACTATTTGATTTATGAAGTGCAGATGGCACACTAGTGTTGACCAACAAATAAGCTAGGACAGCTTCAAACAGTGTGGGTGTTAGATAGAATAAGTGAAAGAGTGCAGGTGTGTAACAGGGAGAAAGCAGCAGTTATTACTCACTGTCCTCCGTCGGGCAGGTCCAGGCCCATGATGCGGTCGTGGGGCTTGAGCACGGCGGTGTAGACAGCAAAGTTAGCGGGGGAGCCGGAGTACGGCTGGACGTTGACTCCCCACAGAGCTGGGTCCAGGTCAAAGGCCTCCAAGGCTCGTTTCTGACACAAAAGCTCAATCTGGTCCACCACTTCTGCTCCACCATAGTATCTGGGTGCAGAACAGAAAATACAACCTTAAGCCAACAGGTGCACTGCTTCTGCATATAAACTGCAAAAGTTAAGTTTTAGTTCAAAAATAAATCTAAACCTTGAATAATTTATTCTTTCTTAAGGCACAGGCCTACAATAGACATATTAACACCTTTTAAGGTCATATGGCAAACTTGTTAGCATACAGTTGCCTATGTAAGCATTGAGCAGTCACAGTGTACCATTATAATTAATTTGAGGCAATTTGAAAAATGTGGCCTGCACAATCCACTCATTCAATGACATTATCCTTTTGTTTCATTACATTTAACTGCGAAGAGAAGATGAGTAGGATGTTGGGGAGCGGGTTAAAAATCAAAAAACACATTCAGTGGGAGGGAGATGTATTGTATCAGCTTGTATTACAGGAATACAAATCATGAAATGAGAAGCATTTCAAAACAGGCCAGCTCTCCGTTTGCCTCTGATACATGTGAATTGATCTGAGGAAAAGGATAGGAAATAGGAAATAGGAAACTGGAAATAAAAATCCTGCAACTATCAGCCTGGGTCTGAATTCCTCCAATGTATCCCCTCAGTAATTTTCTTTGGCAAAGAGGCTGTGGGTTATGAGTTGTGTGGTTGGCATGTAGTATTTTAGGGCAAGCTAGAGAACAGCGTATAAACCAGTGTATGTTTATGTCTGTAACAAATATCCTAAAGCAGAGAATATCAACATAATAAGCTGGGGCGTGGCTGCATAAACACTCACCTTTTCCCTGGGTAGCCCTCAGAGTATTTGTTGTTCAGACAGGAGCCCTGAGCTTCCAGAGCTGCTCGACTGCAGAAATTCTGTGGCGAGAACACACACAAGCAAACACACACTCTGATCAATGGCGCCAGTGGACAGAAGGGACAAGGACTGCAAATTAAAGTCTGTTAAGTGATAGTGAGAAATCCCCCCTCCAGCTAGAGACAATCATTACAGTATTGAACCTGTGGACTTCCATAGACTAACACTCTGCACTTCACAATGCTTATCGCCTCGCTGCTGCAGGATACAAGAAGATAATGTAATACACTTTTCTGCCCATGCTGAGAAACATTGGTATGGCCTTTCTTAAATCCCTTTGCAATGCATTTTCAAAGAAAAACACATTTAAGTGAGCATGCTTTGCTGCATAAGGGGTAGGGCTGTACCAAAGAGTTTGAGGCTTTTAGACTTTATTAGTTTGAGTGCAGCATAATTATGATTATTATAATTGATTATGTGTGGTTATGTTTTGCTAAGCCGCGTTCAACACCATTGTTAAAACACACTCTGTCAAAGGTTCAAAACAACGGCACTAATTAGTTACCTGTTGTGATTTTGGTTAGATGGAAAACACATAGAAGGAAGAGACGTTTAAGCAACGCGTCTTAGTGGTTATCTCTCTGGAGGATTATTGTTTACTTGGAGCTCCTAATATTGGATATGCTATTAGAGCTAAAACAAGTGCCACTATTATTTCGCTAAACTATTTTGTAATGTCATGAAAACAGTTTCCCCACAATACTTCTATGTTTCTGTACCCTTAACACACTGTACACGATAATGAATTACACATGTAAAATGTTGAGTGAATTTCTGTTTAATATACTGTACATCCTGTCTGTTTAACTAACTATGGATGCCTCTCTTGGTATGGCCACTTGACTTACACTCTTTACTGTATATTAACACACTGGCCAGTAATAAAGTCTGACAGTCTAGTCTCCACACTCTCATATACAGTATGCGTGTGCGTGTGTGTGTGTGTGTGTGTGTGTGTGTTTGTCGTTATGCTAATGCTTCACCTAGAAGCCAAGAGGAGATCAAGGGAGATAACTGCTTCAGTAAAAGCTCTCTGCTGCTTTCGTCTGTCATGCCCACGACTGTGCATACATTACAAAAAGAACATTTGCTTCTTAGTGTGTGCGTGCGTGTGTGTGTGCATGTGTGCGTGCGTGTGTGCGCTTTAAAACGTATGTCTTTTCATTCAAGGAATGCCTGCCTGAGCAGAGTAAGGTGGGAAGGAGGCAGAATGAGATATCAACTTCATCTCACACTACAGCGGTCCGGCTGTGTGTAGAGGCGGCTGATATACTCCACTGAACAACTACTGTGGCGAAAAAGGAACAGGAGAAGGAGAGAGAAAGAACAATACAAGATAAAACCTCTTCTGCTTTTTGGAAGAGCATTTTTTTTTTCAATTTCACATAATTTAGCCTTGGAATGAAAACAAAGAGTAACCCAAATGTTTCTGCATTAACTCAGAGATTCCTGCTTACAGAAAGTACTGTATCCAGTGCGTGTTTTCACTATCAAACTAGCTATGTTTGAATAACTTGATGTGAACTTGTCAGAGTTCGTGATATCCGTTTTATTATTCCTGTTTGAGTCAGAAGGTCAGTTTCTCTGCCCTAGTAGCTACTGAAAATATTTTAAAAAGACCAAATGTACTGCTATAGAATATTAAAACATACAGCAGCAAGATGATTTAGGAATCAACATGAATAAAGAATGAATTTACACATGATGCAGTGTATTAATTTCAAATGCAATATTTATTGTACTTATGTACTGCATTTATCTACAGCATGAAACCTGATGGACCTGATAAGAGCTTTTCTGTCAATGCTGCCTGCCAGCAATAATATGGAAAAACACATTTGACCAGGATATGCAAGAAGCTAGAAAGTCTTCATTCACTCATTTTGCCAAAAATTAAAACATAGGTGATGACTGTTCTCACCACCTGCACTACACACACACAAGATCGCTGCTTCTAGCTATTACGTATTTACTGTTTACAGGGATGCAAACTCATCAGGTATGAAAAAGGTGACAAGGATCCGAGCCCCCTCGACCGCACGGAATATCGGCTTTAAAATGAGGAATAACAGGAACATGTTAGCAGTCAGAACAACTAAAGCAGCAGTTAATAATAACAGAAACGCCAAAGCTACTTTGTTCTTCTTCTCCACTACAGTTCAGAGGTACATGGTGTACTTCTACTCCTCTACAGTTCAGAGGTACATGGTGTACTTCTACTCCTCTACAGTTCAGAGGTACATGGTGTACTTCTACTCCTCTACAGTTCAGAGGTACATGGTGTACTTCTACTCCTCTACAGTTCAGAGGTACATGGTGTACTTCTACTCCACTACAGTTCAGAGGTACATGGTGTACTTCTACTCCACTACAGTTCAAAGGTACATGGTGTACTTCTACTCCACTACAGTTCAGAGGTACATGGTGTACTTCTACTCCTCTACAGTTCAGAGGTACATGGTGTACTTCTACTCCTCTACAGTTCAGAGGTACATGGTGTACTTCTACTCCTCTACACTACAGTTCAGAGGTACATGGTGTACTTCTACTCCTCTACAGTTCAGAGGTACATGGTGTACTTCTACTCCTCTACAGTTCAGAGGTACATGGTGTACTTCTACTCCTCTACAGTTCAGAGGTACATGGTGTACTTCTACTCCTCTACAGTTCAGAGGTACATGGTGTACTTCTACTCCACTACAGTTCAGAGGTACATGGTGTACTTCTACTCCACTACAGTTCAAAGGTACATGGTGTACTTCTACTCCACTACAGTTCAGAGGTACATGGTGTACTTCTACTCCTCTACAGTTCAGAGGTACATGGTGTACTTCTACTCCTCTACAGTTCAGAGGTACATGGTGTACTTCTACTCCTCTACAGTTCAGAGGTACATGGTGTACTTCTACTCCACTACAGTTCAGAGGTACATGGTGTACTTCTACTCCTCTACAGTTCAGAGGTACATGGTGTACTTCTACTCCTCTACAGTTCAGAGGTACATGGTGTACTTCTACTCCACAACAGTTCAGAGGTACATGGTGTACTTCTACTCCACTACAGTTCAGAGGTACATGGTGTACTTCTACTCCTCTACAGTTCAGAGGTACATGGTGTACTTCTACTCCACTACATGTATTTAATACCTTTAGTTACTTCACAGATGTGGATGAATGATGTGAAATCTAATCAAGTGTTAAATCAGACTTTAGTTCCACCTGGAGTAAATCCACAAGCTACCCTGCAGTATACAAAGTCATTCAAACTAGCTGCACCTTCACCAGCTTTGAGAACACTTTCATGATCAATCATTATAAAACATATCATATATATTATTCTGAAATGGACCAAACTGCACAACGACTACTTTTACTGTCGCTACTTTCACTATATTTTGATGATAATACTTTTGTACTTTTATTTGAGGAACATTTTGATTGCAGGATTGTTCCTACACTCTGGTACTTCTACTTTGACTCACACCTGAGTACTTGTACTTTTACTCAAGTACAAGATTTGAGTACTTCTACTTTTACTAAAGTACAAGATCTGAGTACTTCTACTTTTACTCTAGTACAAGATCTGAGTACTTCTACTTTTAATCAAGTACAATATCTGAGTACTTCTACTTTTACTCAAGAACAAGATCTATACTTATACCACCTCTGTTTATAGCCTATGAAAAAAACTATTAGAAAACGAAGGCTAAAGCTAACGTTGGTTAGCAGATAGTGACAATGTATGCTAGTTAGCCAGCTCAACGATAATATTGCGACAGAAAAACTGTTCAGTTCACATCACGCTCTGCCGCTCTGCTCTGAACACCTGAACGACCCGTTCTAACAGCTGTTCACCAGCGGAGCAGTCTGTGCCACAGTGACTCCCGACCACACAGTTCATATTAATGAACGCACCCGTAGGTAATGTAGCTGCTGAAGCTAGACCATCATCACGGCCGCAGATTACTCCGGGTCTCAGACCCCTCATACCCCAAAAACATTTTTATTGCAGATCTACATGAATCACACACACGACCTATTTTGGATTCAAAACGGCGAATTTCGCCGAAAGGTGACAAGTTTGCATCCCTGGTTTATTTCAAATAAACTAAATCGGGACAACATTTGTTAAGGATGTTTTTTTTTGCTAACGAAAATATGAACCAGGCTTGGCGGTGTTTTATGTCATCTCCCTTCTCTTAAAGCCCCTTGAACTCCTCTCTGTGTGAACTGTTCAGTTACTAAAACCTTCAAATCACACTCAGTTAAACATCATGTGTGAAAGTGACTGACCTCAGATGCAATGAGCTCCAGGCCGCGGCACTGCCGGTCCTTCTCCTTCAGCAGCAGGTCCCACATCTCGGGGTCGTCCTGAGCCAGGCTCTCCTGGCCCGTCCACGGACGCTCTTCATCCACTGAGTATGTCACGGCGTGGGACTGCTGGCCACGCACACAGAGACGGACGGGGGCTCGCTGGCACAGAGGCTGTGAGCAGAGGAGAAGTCGTTAGGGTTAGGGGGAAGGATGGGAGATTGAGAAAAACTGACAGTATGCTAGTTATATACAGTTTTTACAGTTATCATGAACACATGTTGTAATTATGGATGATTGCACTAAAAAGGGACTAACAAGTTGCAATGGTTTATGATATTTAACTTCAATCATTTAACTGCAATGCAAATTATCATAGCTTTGAAATACGTTTGGTAAAAACATATAGGACAATATTTAGTCTTTGTGTAGCAGCTGGTTTTTTATTTCATCAGGAACATTTAACAAGATTTAAATGTGGGTGTTGAGAATGGAGGACAACAAATTAAACAATATGTAGTTGAGCTGTATATTCTCTATGAGGATTGAACTAGTGGGAGCTTCAGCCACAAAAAAGGGATCAGCATGAAATCAAGAGACATGTTTCATCCAGCTTTATTTCTCTACAGAATGTCTTTGATTATTTTAAATATTTAAGGCAACAGCTTGATTTGTCCTATATACATGAGAAGACATTTCAAGTCCCCTTCTCTGTTCCTCTCTAATATGTAGCTTGGTATAATTAGAAACTGGCGTGTTTCCATGATATCAATAATCAGCACGGTTGTTCAATTATGCCTCTATCAGCACTTCTACAAACTGAGGGACCGACTTTTACAGCCTCAGTGTAGCAAAGGAGGAATATAGAGAACAGATTCAGCACTTCCTGCTTATCTAATCTGGACTGGGGCTGTGAGTTCTCCTGCTGCTGCTGCAATGCCCCATCATGTGAGTGTGCAGACTCCATTCAATTTTCAATGTCTTTCTCTTTTCTTTAAAAAAAAAAAAATTAGACAGGATTCGACCATCCTGTTTGTTCGACGCACTATGCCTGGATAATAAAACACTACATTTCTGGCTATGTATTCCATTGAGTAGTTTCTTTTCACTGCCATTTACACATAAAACCTTTCTAGGCCACAAATCATTGTCAGGTAATAAAGCTTTATGTGTGCGCCTCTATGCTTAAGATCTCTGCATGAACCCAGCGAGGGCACTGTGTGGGAGAACACTCTGAAAAGAAGAACAACTAATTCCCAACAGGTTGATTGCATTTAGAACAAATTGGCCCTCTCCCATCATTTAATCAACAATATGATGATGACTCTGTTTGGAGATCAATCCCACCACGGGTAACCTACTGTATAGTTATCATCTGTACAGGTGTGCAGGGTGAGAAGGAAAACCTCCCTTTAATAGCGCCATTAAAAAGTAATTAACACAATGCTCAGTACTGGTTGAGGACACCTATTTGTAAAAACAAAACACAAAGAACGCAATTTACGCTTTATTCCATGTGGTGTAGGAAATGTTTGTGTAATTCATCTTTTGTAGTGGCTTTATTGCACTGTGAACCAACTGCAGTAACTGTAGATGTTTAAGAAAAACAATTAAGAGCGTTAATGTTGGGAAGAAATAATAAAAGCTGACCAGCGATAGTCTCATAATTCGACACCCTTTGTTAAAAAAAAAGAAAAGGCTAATAAGAGCACGTTATCCTGAGGAGCAGCTTGCAGATAGTTCATCTAGTGCATCGCTGTGAGGCCCATCCTCTCCACTGCTGCTCTTCATCTGCTCCCTGGGGTGGTGGAGGGGGCAGAAGAGAGACACCAGGGGGGAGACAACTGGCACATTAATGGCCGATCCCTAACAGTTGCTACTCTGGCCTTCTGTCACCAGCGGCAGTGTGGATGGTTGAAAAGAGGAGAAGGCCCCTCCTTTGTGCTTTGGAAGAGACGAGGGCCTGGGGAGACAGGTTGGGCAGCCTCTGAGGACGAGTTTCTCGCTGAGAAATCACACGGGTCATTACATCTTGACGGGAACCGTCCTTCGCTGTCTGCACTTCAGCTGGGACTCACCAAGGCTGAGGAAGGGGAAAGCAGTGGCAGGAAAACCCAACACAAGCCAACACTGCCATGGTTATAACACTTTTGAAGACTGCAAAACAGACAATGTTCCTCCTCCTCCTCCTCCTCCTCGCCTCCACCTTCATCCCTGGATTTATTTTCCCACCTTCATCCTGTCACTATAAGCTGCTTAGCACGCTCAGCTGAGAGGCATTCATGTGGCGTTTTTATTACTATGTCTCTTCTGCAACATCATTTCAATGGCGTCCAAATAAGAGAGCACTGAGCTTAAACAAACACAAAGGTCAGTCTCTGTGGTCGGCCTCTTCACTTTCCTGCCTCATTTCTCAGCCCTGATCATTACGAGGGATTAATTAATGAGCACAAGGTAAACTGAACTAAGAAAAGTGAGAGCCAAGATACAAGCACCAAATATGTCAGAGTGGGACTATTTTTAGGGCGACAGATGATGCTGTCGTTTGAAGGTGAACTTGATGAAAACTGTGCTGTGAAAAGGGGGCGGGATAGGCCACATCAAACTCTGCGCTGAGCACGAGATTATGGCAGAGTCACAGATGCACGGCATCTGCATGACAACGCTAAGGTGATTGTTGGCAGTTTACCTTTCCTGTCAAACATCTGGGCCCAAAGACCAACAACAGAGAATAAGAAAAGGGAAGAAAGAAAAGCATTTCATTCCGATTTCCTGTAGCAGCTCCTGAGGCGAGTCAATTTTACAGATGACTGCTGTCCATCAGTGGCTATACCAAACAACAATCACCCAGGTAACAGGAGCTAAACAGAAGGGACCAGAGAGAAGAAACAGCAGCGAGAAAAAAAAGAAAGATATGTAAGGTTCAAAAGAAGAAGTGTCAACAGGGCAGCAACATCCGTCGGTCTGACACGTAGTTGCTTCTTTCCCCGTCACTGACTAATAGCTGGGCTGTCCGTTACAAATTGCCCTGTGATTCAGTCTAGATAACACTAGACTGAGAAACCTGGATGGGGTGAAGAGGCGTGAAGGGACAGAGTCTCAGTCCAGGGCGGATTCACTCTATTCGGGTCAAAGGATTGTCAGGGTGACAATCAGAGACTTAAGCGATGCCGGCAACAAAGCCAATCTTTAGGGAGGAGTGGGAGGAACGTTAGCTTTATGCTGTAATCTCTCCACAACACTTCCTGTGTTGATGGTGGAAGGGATGAACACTGGGCTTTCATGGTGACTCATGGAGTGTAGATGCATGCTGTGGACTGAACTGTTCACAGATACTCGTCGGAGAAAACCTCTGCGCACAACCCTCTCATTAGCCCCGTCGAGTGCACTTTAAATCAAACATAATACTTACCTGGGGTTTCCTGCATTGTCAAATCTTGTCTGGACCAAAAAAAAGCAAGTTTGAGAAATTTGGCAAAGTCAGTTATAAAGTTACATATTAGCAGTAAAGGGAGGACAGTTTATGTCTGTTTTTTTATTTCCTGGAAATCTAAATATATAGTAAAAAGGGCTATCTGGCAGGATTATCAAACTTGACTAAACTAAGGCTTCAACTAACAATAACTATCATTATCAATAAATCAGATATTTTTCTTGATTCAAATTCATTGTTTTGTCTATCAAATGTCTGAAACTAGTGAAACATTTCTGTAATAAATGTCATTTATTTAATCCTTTATTTGGCAGGGACAATGCACAGTAATGAACACTTAAAACATTCAAATGTGTCAAGCGTAACAGTGCCAGATTTAGCTTTGAGCTCATTTCCATCCGCAGTCCCTCACATAAAACATTTAAGAAAATTACATTTTACAAACCTAGCAAAAACAAATGCATGATATGCAAAAAGTGCAAAAGAGCAAGAGCAGCACACACAAGTATTTACCACATGGCAGAACAATGTAGCAGCAACGACATATAAAGTGCAAGAAAAGATAAAAGTGCTACATAAAGTGCAAGAGGAGTTACCCCTGTATTAAAGTGCATTTAGCAGTGATTACACGTCTGTTTGTTTCTCTACCATTCTTTGAGTTGACCTTTAAAACTATGAGAGTGGGACAATCCCGTATCTCAGTTGGGAGGCTATTCCAGAGTGAGCTGCCTTTAATGGAGAGGACATTTTGTCCAAAAGTGGTCCGTCTGTGGTGGACTTCACAGTCTCCTCTGGTTTCTGACCTAGTGCAGCGTCCAGTGTCTTTTTTATGGATGAATTTCCCTAAGGGAGGGAGGGGGGGGCAGTCCATGTAAACATTTATAAATAAAGCACATAATAATTCTCAAGGCCTTATGTGAAACTTGGAGTAGCTTGATATTAATACAAAATATATATAAGAGCAAAACACGTGTCCCATCTTCTCTTTTTTTAAAGAGTAGACCAGGTTGTGATTGGTATGTTTTCATGAAAATGATAACTTATTTTATTAAATTCTCCTCTGAAAAACGTCCTGACCTGCTCTGAAGACATACTACAGAAAACGGTTGTGTGTTTTGTGTTCATAAAGATCGAAGCATTAAGTAAACAAAAGCCAACAGGACTCTTGTACAGGCAGAAGGGTTTTTCATAATGGGATTAGTTACATTGTTTTCTTAAAAACAGTATCATCTTCAGCAACAGATCTACCATTTAAAAAAAGTATCAACATGGACATATCCACATCTTTAGAACAATAAACTGTTAATAAATTACACCATTAAACTGTCCTCATAAAACCGGATGTCAGCAGCCACTAGAAATAGCTGCACAGGACTGTAAGCTAACTCTCTCTCTCACACACACAACCTGTGAGGAGGACACTGCATCCCGGAACCACACATTTAAAAAAGAGTCTTGTGAGTCCTTTTAAAATTCAATTACGATGCACACTGAACCGATTACCACCAATAGGAAAAGCATGCAAGCACGTGAATAATTCAGTTAAATAGGAAACTTCAGACAAACTGACTAATACAACTTGGTCTGAACTCATGCCACATACATTGGCAAATATTTGGTATCCTAGTTGTTTCTGAGAAACTACAGAACATTTCAAAATGGGTCACTTCATAAAGTGCAAAAATTAGGATGAAAATGCCAATGGACCAACTTTTTTGTCAGCAACTTAATCACCCCGATTCAGGCTCAACTGATCCAGTTAAATTAAAAAAAGATGTCAAAATATAAAACTTCACATAACTTTGAAATTATCACTTGGCAACTGATATATATAATCAAATGTTATTTATGAAGTTTAAGTGGACATACTTTTCTTTACAGGGAATAATAAATACAATTGAAGGTTATAATGTTCACATTTTGAGAAAGGTATTTGTTGTTGTTGTAATGGTCACATGGATGGCTGCAGATTGTGTTACTGTGAAATATTGTTGTATCTTATGCATGAAGAAACATATTTTGCCCAACCCAATTATTTCAACAAAATAAGTTATAGTTTCAGTATTAGATTAAGCTACCTAATAAGCTGCAAGTGAGTGAAAAAGGTAGACCTTTGAGCTTAGATTCACCATAAATAAATATTTCTTAGGCTTACATCATTCTTGTAGCTACCCTAGTTATTATTGCACAATCTGCTGAAACTATGACACAAATGCATAAACTGCCAATCTGCTGACACTTCTGAAAAATTACTATTGCTTTGACCAATCAGCCTGATCTCAAAGTAATAAGTTACTATTTTCTCGGAGCTCTTGCTGTATATCAGCCGTATGTTGTACTTTGAACGTTATTCAGGGGCCTTCTGTTTATCACTGGCTGATAACCCTCTCTGCAATGTGTTATCTGCATAATCACCATTACTGAAGCACTTCATTTTACTTCATGGAACCCCTTTAAGTGAGAAAACAAAACAAAAAAGGCGTAATGGTGATAAATATCAAATAAGGACATAAAGCTACCGTAAATACAAACGAAAAAAGACAGATACTAGTAGCTAAACCTAAAGTTTTTTCCTGATAATCCGTTGTGTTTTCCCACATGATGAAACTGAGCAGTCGCTGTTGCATCATTACGTGGCCACTACAGCTGCAGCTATGCAACGTGCACTGACAGCTAGCTAGCTTATCAGCTAACTAACAACCACCATAATGTGAAATATACAATGTCAAGAGGAAATCAATTATAGTTTATGGTTCACTGCTGCAAATACCTATACATTTGATGACATGCTAGAGCCCAGGGGAGACATTTACTGTAGACACCAACGCGTGTTGAAACTCAAAGCTAGCAAACAGTTCAGCCGTACAGAACTGGGGCGGTTGCTAAGACACCTTTTAAATAAACAATGACTTAAAAACTGTTCTTTATGATACGCATACCCGTGTGAGTTGTCTGAGAGCGAAGGACAGCATGGTTCCAGTTAAGGGAGGAAGAAGCAGCACGGCCAGGCGACTCACCGCTGTTATGCTTCAGAAAGACTGCTTGGAGTTTTTGGCAACGGCTGGTTACGTGGACCGGCCGAAAGGGGTGCTGGGAATTGTAGTCCGTGGAGAGAAAATTACACAAGCATGACATTTGAAGATTACGAAATACGTTTACGAAAATTAATGAATTAAATGTACCAAAACTTCCATGATAAAGATTCAAAGAGGTTCCCAGTTTTAAATATATCACCATATGTATTATTGATAAGCAGTGGTGGATAGTAACTTTACCTGAATATTTGACTTTATACTTCTACTCCACTACTAGAAGCCATATTGCACTTTTTACTAGACTACATTTATTTGACAACTTTTAGTCAATAGTTACTTTTTAGATTTATATTATTAGCCAATACAAAATATAAATTGATTATTAAATAAACATTCACATACACACAGTGACGTCATGAGCTACCCACAATGCAACACGTGCCATATATATATAAATACGCCGTTTTCCTGGAGGTGCAAATATCCTGGAGGTGCAAATATAAACAGCTAGCTAACGTTGCCAGGCAGAGCGCACTAGGTTTTTTTTCTGAAATAACGACCGAAGAAATCGCTGCATGTCTTCGGATTACATCTCTGGACTTGAGGGGTGTGCTCTAGGTCGTTACCAGCGTAAACTAGAGCTGTGTGGGTTGTCAGATTGCCCTTACAGACTGCCTGCAGATGTATGGAAAAACGACCCTCGTCGATTTTGGCTGCATCTACGTCTAATTTCTGGAAACACCAGGTGAATACCCCACTTGTCACAATAATATTATCATGCCATCCATCCATCCATCTTCTCCCGCTTATCCGTGGTCGGGTCGCGGGGGTAGCAGTTCCAGCAGAGAGCCCCAAACTTTCTTTTCCCTGGTGACATCAACCAGCTCTGACTGGGGGATCCCAAGGCGCTCCCAGGCCATCGGAGAGATATAATCCCTCCACCTGGTCCTAGGTCTACCCCTTGGTCTCTTCCCAGCTGGACGTGCCTGGAACACCTCCCTAGGGAGGCGCCCAGGTGGCATCCTAACTAGGTGCCCGAACCACCTCAACTGGCTCCTTTCGACGCGAAGGAGGAGCGGCTCAACTCCGAGTCCCTCCCTGATGACCGAACTTCTCACCTTATCCCTAAGGGAGACACCAGCCACCCTGCGGAGAAAACCCATCTCGGCCGCTTGTATCCGCGATCTCGTTCTTTCGGTCATGACCCATCCTTCATGACCATAGGTGAGGGTAGGAATGAAAATGGCCCGGTAGACAGAGAGCTTTGCCTTTTGGCTCAGCTCCCTTTTCGTCACAACGGTGCGGTAAAGCGACTGCAGTACCGCTCCCGCTGCTCCGATTCTCCGGCCCATCTCACGCTCCATTGTTCCCTCACTCGAGAACAAGACCCCGAGATACTTGAACTCCTTCACTTGGGGTAAGGACTCATTCCCTACTTGGAGTGGACAGTCCATCGGTTTCCTGCTGAGAACCATGGCCTCAGATTTGGAGGTGCTGATCCTCATCCCAGCCGCTTCACACTCGGTTGCGAACCGATCCAGTGAGTGCTGAAGGTCGCAGACCGATGAAGCCATTAGAACCACATCATCTGCAAAAAGCGCAGCCCTGGCGGAGGCCAACCCTCACCGGAAATGTGTCCGATTTACTGCCGAGGACCCGGATACAGCTCTCGCTTTGGGAGTACAGAGATTGGATGGCCCTGAGTAGAGACCCCCTCACCCCATACTCCTGCAGCACCTCCCACAGTAAATCCCTGGGAACTCGGTCATACGCCTTCTCCAAGTCTACAAAACACATGTAGACCGGATAAGCGTACTCCCAGGCCCCCTCCAGGATCCTTGCGAGAGTAAAAAGCTGATCCGTCGTTCCACGACCAGGACGGAATCCGCATTGTTCCTCCTCAATCTGAGGTTCGACAATCGGCCTGACCCTCCTTTCGAGTACCTTATGGCGCATTTCCACTGCAGCGGGTAGCCCCGTTTAAGCGTCCTTAACCGTCCTCAAGCGGCCAGGCCAGTTTTTGGTGGTATTTCCATATAGCCTAGCACCGGCTAGTGGGTACTTTTTCCCTCTTTTTCCGGCCCCATAAAATCGTGGTTCTATCAGGCCAGGCCAGGGCTGAACTAGTGACGTCAACACTCTCGACTGCTGATTGGTCAGAGAGAATCGTCACAAGATCGCGCGCGAGATCATCCCTAGCGTCGCATATATATCTAGAAGCAAGCTTGCAGCATTTTTATAAACAGCATTTTTATAAACAGCATTTTGTAAACGGAGGAGCTACAAAAATGGCAACGTCGAAGAAAAGCACACCGTGGTCGACCGAGAAGGTGACGACGTTCCTAAATCTCATTGGGGATGATAAAATCCAGCGGGAGCTCGACGGAACAACGCGAAATGTGAAAGTGTTCCAGGATGTCTCTGCACAGATGTCCGAACGCGGATTTTCGAGGACTTTCCTGCAGTGTAGGGAAAAACTCAAATAGATGAAGAGTGAATATCGCCAAGTAAAGGACAACAATAACATGAGTGGTGCGGGTAGGAAACAATGGAAGTGGTTCGACTTGTTGGACCAGATTTACGGCTATAGACCGGCCAACGTTGGGAGGGAGGGAGGCCTGGACTCTGCAACAGCTTTACTGGAGTGTGCATCTAGACCGAGTGAACTCAGCAATCAGGCGTCCATTTTAGGTAGCTCTTTCCTGGAGCGTCAGCTTCAGCGTCAGACAACCGAAGACTGACAAAGACATTGGAGTCCTGCGGGAGTAAGACTGACAAAGACATTGGAGTCCTGCGGGAGTCACGAGGGAGGCAAAGAGGAGGCAAATCCTACTCTGATTGAGCTAATTACCGCTGGTGTCCTATTTTATTTTCTTTCGTTTTCTAGCCCCTCATGCTATAATCATGTGTATTTTCTCCATTCCTGTTCATGTGTCTTCTCGCAATTATCACTGGCCCCGTGTATCTCCTAATCGCTATAACCGGCCTGCTCTCGTCTATCCCATATGCTCCACTGAGATCCAACATCTAGTTTCAGGTGGCCTGTGGAACTGCCAGTCAGCTGTTCCTAAGGCTGACTTCATCTCTGGCTACGCCTCCCTGCAGTCCCTGGATTTCCTTGCTCTCACTGAGACCTGGATTACTCCATTCAACACATCCACCCCAGCAGCTCTCTCCACAGCATATTCCTTCTCCCATACACCCAGACCCACTGGCAGAGGTGGTGGCACTGGTCTCCTGCTCTCTCCCAAATGGAGCTTTTCCCTCTTCAAGCTACCTAACTTCACTTCTTCCACCTTTGAATTCTATGCCGTCACAGTAACCCATCCTATACAGTTAACCATTGTTGTTCTCTACCGTCCACCAGGCGCCTTGGGGGACTTCTTGGAGGAATTAGATAATCTCCTCTCACACATCCCTGAAACTGGTCCTCCCGCTGTACTTCTTGGAGACTTCAACCTCCAGACAGGGAAGATAGACAAACTAACATCTCTGTTAACCGCCTTTGCTTTCTCACTGTGTCCTTCGCCACCAACTCATAAAGCTGGCAATGTCCTTGATCTCATATTCTCAAGGAACTGCGCTACTTCTAACCTCTCTGTAAACCCGCTCCACACATCCGATCACTTTTTCATTTCATTCTCTCTACCCCTTTCCAAACATAACAAACTAATCTCTTCTCATCCTGCACCTGTCCGCCGTAACCTTCGTTCCCTCTCCCCCTCTACCTTTGCCTCATCGGTGCTCTCAGCCCTCCCTTCCTCTGACTCGTTCCAACTGCTGCCTCCAAACTCTGCTGCAGAAACTCTCCTCTCTACTCTCTCATCCTCTCTCTGTCCTCTCACATCTCGGCAGGCTCGTCAGTCCCCTCCTGTTCCCTGGCTAAATGACGCACTGCGTGCTAATAGAACCGTCCTTAGGGGAGCAGAGCGGAAACGGTGGAAATCCAAACACCGTGACGACCTCCTAACCTATCAGGCTCTCCTCTCCTCTTTCTCTGCTTCGATCTCTCAGGCAAAAAGCACTTTCTTTCAAGATAAGATCCAATCTTCCTATTCCAATCCCAAAAAACTATTTTCCATCTTCTCCACCCTCTTGGACCCTCCCAAAGCCCCTCCCCCCTCCTCACTTCTGTCAAGCGACTTTGTTATCCACTTTGAAAAAAAGGTTGATGATATTCGCTCTTCTTTTTCTGACTCACCTTTACTCACCGCTGGGTCACCAGACCCTCCTTCCTCCAACACACTAACCTCCTTTTCCCCTCTCTCCAAGTGAGGTTCTTACCCTTATTACCTCTGCCCGCCCTACCACCTGTCCTCTGGACCCTATCCCTTCAAACCTCCTTCAGACTATCGCTCCTGATATTCTACCGTTCCTTTCCCATTTCATCAACACTTCTCTAACTTCTGGTCACTTTCCAAACAGTCTCAAGGAGGCAAGAGTAAACCCTCTCCTAAAGAAACCCACTCTCAACCCGTCAGATGTTATAAACTACAGGCCTGTCTCTCTCCTCCCGTTCCTGTCTAAAACACTTGAACGCGCTGTCTTTAAACAACTCTCCTGTTATCTCCATCAGAACAACCTTCTGGATCCGCACCAGTCTGGTTTCAAGGCAGGTCACTCCACAGAAACTGCTCTCATTGCTGTCACTGAGGAACTGCACACTGCCAAAGCAGCATCCCTCTCCTCTGTCATCATCCTGTTGGACCTGTCTGCTGCATTCGACACGGTGAACCATCAGATCCTCCTTCGCACTCTCCAAAAACTTGGGGTTTCAGGCTCTGCACTTTCCCTCCTCACTTCATACCTCAAAGACCATACCTACAGGGTAACTTGGAGAGGGTCTGAGTCCGACCCTTGTCAATTAACTACAGGGGTCCCACATGGCTCTGTTCTTGGTCCCCTCCTCTTCTCCCTGTACACAAACTCGCTCGGATCAGTCATTAGCCCGCATGGTTTTTCATACCACTGCTACGCTGACGACACCCAATTAATTCTGTCCTTGCCCCGCTCAGAGACCCAGGTCGTCGCACGCATCTCTGCTTG